CGTGCTCTGTAAATACCGTGTAATTTGCCCCTTTCTGGGAACTCCCTTCAAGATGCATCCCGTCCATGACATTTGCTCAGGAGGGGAAGGAGACAGGCAGGTTCTTGAGGGGTTTAATCAGCAGATTAGCAGCCAGTGCCCCCATCCCTCTTGCTCCCATGTAACCAAGTAATGTGAGTCCAGGGAGTCTGTGAACAGGGATGGGGAAGGACCCTGGCTTCTTTGCCTGGCTCATGCATGGAAGAGGCTGATTTATAATTGCATCAGACGTATGGGAGGGCAGCACTTGCCTTGCAAAGCAGGGTGGTAGATTAAGCCTGAGGAAGAGGGAAAGATCCAGGTGCAGCTTCCCTCTCTCCCCACCCTGCAGGAGGGTGGTAGCAGAGGCGGGTAGATTCAGCGTAGCTGCGGTTGCTGGACCTGGGGTTTTGGAGATGCGTGCCCTTCATCCTTGAGGCCATCTGCAGGATGTGTGCAGTGGCAAAGGTGGTAGTGGGGGAGAGTCTAACAGTGATGGCTAGTGTTAGCCTGCTGAGAAGGCAGCAGTGAGGGCAGCTGATGCTGTGCTGCAAAGGGGTGAGCAGCCTGCCCTTGCGCTTGCTGACTGTGACTGGGGAGTGTCAGTGCAGTATCTGTCGCTCACCGTCCTCTCTGTGAAGGAGCTCTCATTGTTGCCATTGTAGTGATGGGATCTCAGGCTCAAAAGATGAATAGCTAGACCTGTGAACCAAACACAGATTACTCAGTCCTCGCCAAAAGACCATTTCTCTCTCCTTTTCTGCATTTTAATGATATTAGCAAACCCTGAGCACCAAGAGTCTCATAAACTTTCCAGATTATGGTAATAATAACGTTGCACAGTACACTGCACTGGGAATAAAGTTATTTTATCCAATCCAATTTCCTTTTGTTTTAATGTGTAAATATATCAAGTGAAAGCATAGTAGGAAATCTCAGTGTGGAGGCCAAATGCGTTGCAAGCCAGCCCTTTTCCGAGGAAGGGCTTAATTCTGCAGGTTCAGAGTCTGAATTTTTTCACTTGTAAAGCATCTGACGCTCAATATTTGGCTGGCCTACTTTCTCTGGAGGACTTTGTATTGGGAGCCTTCCCCAAGCTGATCTCCTTCCTGGAAGTGGAATGGAAGTGACGATGCACCTATTCCTCAAAACGCAGGGAAAAAAAGGATGGGGAACAGCCTGTCCCCTCTTCCCCCCATAAAGGCCATCAGAGGTCTTCCTTGGACCTCTGCTTTGGGGTTTGCCAGCCTGAGGAGAGGGATTCTGCCCCAGCAGCGCTTAGCAAGGCAGGTTGTATCTGTGCAAGGGTTGTTCTTCACAGAGCACTGCTGAGAACGGCTGCGATTACTGCTTCATCTCCGGCACCTGGCCTCATGCTCTGGCCTTTCTTTTCCCTCCTGGGGGCCTTCTGTGAAACTGTTTACTCTGACAGGCATGGTCCTGCCATCCTGTTGTGCTGGCAATGCACAACCTGTTTGCGTGCTGAAATCCTCCGGGATACCTGAGATGATGTCAAACAATAATGTATTCTTTCTGTTCAAGCACATTAAAAGTGCAATTAATCCTCACAGTCTCTCTGCCCATCTGTAACACGCCGTGAGGTGACTTTCCCAGCCTTTGTGTGCTGTGGCAGGCTGAGCTTGGAGCAGAGACCTTCCTGAGTCTCGTCTTGTGATTTAATGCAATCCCGTAAGAGCTTGGGTTGGTTTGTTGCTCAGCCCCCACTGCTTCGCTAATGTCAGGTTGTAACCAAATGCAGAGTTTCTCAGACTCCTATGCCATCTACCTGAGTGCTTTTCTTTCCAAGACAACTCCAGCTTTCTGAGCTCCCTTTTGGGAGACCTGGGTTCATACAGGGTTTAAGACATGGAAGAATGGTGGTGGTTCTCCTGAGGACCTGGTGCTGCGGTTGCAAGAGAGATGTTACAGCTGAAGCAGCAGGGTTTCACTTACAGTGATGTCCCTTTCCAGTGAATATAGCTGAAAGGTATTAGTGATGGTAACACAAGCAAGTTAAGACACCTAAGAACAAAGCTGGATGTGCACACCCTTGTTTGTAAGCTTCATTACAGCTCAGTGGATCCAGAGAGAATCTGGGAAAAGAGGACGAAATTATGACACAGGGCTTATCCCTAGGGTTGTCGTTTTGCAGTAGACTAGCACCATACAATGCTTCGTAGTGTCAAGTAAAGATTAGTTTAAATAATACTTCTATGAAACTCAGAGAGACAGCAGCAATTACCGCGAGATAATTTGGCACCAGAATAGTTGCACAAGAACAGTCTAATCCTGTACCACTGTACCTAATGATTTTGCTGTGGAAATTCCCCATGTGGAAATGCCTTTAGGCAGGTGGCAGGAAAGGGTTACAGAAGGCAGGTGAAATTACGGAAATGGGATGGCCAAAGGGAAGGGAGTGTAAGCTGAAAGACTTACATTGTGTACCATGTGGGGTACGGCAGAGCAACTTAAGGAAACATTTAGCTGGGAGCTAGAGCTGCAGATAAATATTCAGATTCTCCATGGGGTGGATGGAAATTAGTTTTTGCAGCAAGGTCGTGTTTGCAAAGGGAGAATAGAGCCACCAGCCGGCAAATGCAGCCCAGAGACGGTGAAGAGATGTTACAAGAACTTTGGTGCCAGAACCTCACTGAAATGCAGGCGGCACAGGTCGGGGATGGGTGGGAATGTGGTATGGGGTGGGAAGGGACGGGACCTCTCTTTTAATCATAGAGCAGTGATTCTTCAGCATCGCAGCCTGGGTCTGGGCACTGTGAGCGATGCTCTGCAGTGCACATGGGGTTAAAGGTGTGAGGGCAGGTCTGCAGAGGACTGATCCAAGGGCTGAAACAGCACAAGAGACTGTCATTTGGATTAAGGTGTATTGGCGAAGGTTACATAGGCTTCTGAATTACTTCTCTGCCACTCTTCACTTGACAAGCATTCATGATGTCTTTTCCTAGTAAGTCACTATTTTACTTAATATATTTATATTTCAGTATGTATATCCATACATGTATGTGTATACAAACACACAGATGTATGTAAGCACATACATAGGTTTCTGCTTTGTCGTGGGTTCAACAAGACTCTTCTTCCATCCAGGCAGGGGAAGGTCACTCATCTCCTCGGTCCTATCAGTGAAGCTTTGACAGTCGGTTTCAACATTCCATGACCCTCAAGTGATGGCAGGCACGTTCCTGGGAGCCCTGAAGAGGGGGCAGACAGGAGAGTCTGAGGGATTTGTCCTTGTCTGTGCCATCATATTATTCAAATACACGTGTTGGTTCTGTTGGTCAACAGTTTGGATAGTAATAATGAGTTTAACAAAGTGCCACAGAAAGACAGAAGAGATGCAGAAAGAGGGAGTAGCTTGTTGTACATGCAGTGCTGCTGCCTGGGTGCTGCGTGGCTGTGGCAGGTTGAGAAGCCCCAGCGGCAAGAGCAGCTTGCTGCCCACTAGCCCTGTGTCCACTCTTGTGTCACTGCTGCTTGGTCAGTGCATTGTGGTGACACCAGTTTATAAAAGCGGACCTCAAAGACAGATCTTCTCCACTGCCTGAGCCCTGCTGGGCTAGGTCTGTGCTGCTGGTGGATTAAACCAGCATACATCTGAGCACTTCCCTTGCCCAGGTGCTTGGGTTTAGAGCGTTTTGGTCATGCCAAAAGAATGGGGAGGGGGTGTGTGTGTGTGTGTGTGTAAAAGTCTTTGGAACTCAACTAACCTTGAGGAAAACATGGGTGCTCAGTTCAGCTTTAACAGCTTGTGCAAAGTCTGTGCTTGTTTCGGAAGGCTCGCTAAGGCTCGTTGCTTTAAACCCTTTGATCATCCCCTCAGTGGTTTGTTCGTGTTGTATTTCACTAGTGGGAGCTAGAGCTGTGACTCCAGAGTCACCTGGAAGCCTTGTAGCAAGATGGGGAAGTACCCCCGGGAACTCGCACTGAGGCACTGATTCTTAGACACGTTGGTGGGTTTCCCTGTTCCTTGAAGTGCAACTGGACTTTTCCCCTCGAACAAGCACAGGTGGCCCGTTGTGCTGACGGTGACTGTGCAGCCCACCTCAGCTGCTTCAGCGATCACACAAACGCTTTTGGAGTAGGGAGCCGAGGGCTGTTTGCACAGGACTCCCGAGCTGAGGCTTTTTTCTTTATAAAATCCTGTTCTCCTGAAGCTTGTCTCTCCCTGCAGCTGGTCAGGGCTACAGTGGGACATAGTTGCTGTTTGGAGGCATGAAATTTTTAAACTTTGTTCTAGGAACTTTCTTTCCACGTATTTTTCCACTTCGCTTGTCTTCAATTGTTTTCGTGGCCAGACTGGCAGTAACTGGTCGCCACTTGGAGCCCTGGAGAATACAGGTCCCTTGATCCTACAGAGGCTGTTCCCTCTGGCTCAAGGCTGAGATAGGTTGCTGTGTAATTTCAGAAAGACTTGTTTTTCCTGCTTTGTATGTTATGCCTCTTCTAGCGATGTTTGCTAAAAGTTGTGCAGAGCTTCAAGTCCCTTTCTCACCCCACTCGGTAGTTATTCTAGCTCCCTGCAAGGTAAATCATAATATTCAGGCCTGTTTTAGACAAGCATAGAGCAGTTGTGATTTGACCACGTCCCTGCTTTAACTGCTTGCACGTACTCCTCTCTGGGAGAGATGAGAGCTGGGAATTCTTGGTCCTCAGTTTGTGCAGGAGATTTCCCCCCAAAAAAGCTCTGTATTCTGCCTTTTAAGTGCCTAGAGCTGCTCATTCCCACAGGACCAAAGTTTTTAAAACAGCAGCTGATACCAGCCACCCAGGAGACGGGGAAAATCACTCAATTTTATATCTCCTGGTACCTTTGTGTCTCATACCCAGTGCTGCCCGGCTCTTCCCCTCTGTGACTTAAGAGGTGGCTCTTCCACCCTGCTGTGGGAGCAGCCACCCTGGGCAGTGGCCGTAAGGGGCTGAGGTGCTGCCTGTTTCCCTCTTTACCTCTTCTTTCCTCTCCACAGCTCCTGCTCAGGCCCAAATCATCCACGCTGGGCAGGCGTGCGTGGTGAAGGAAGACAACATCAGCGAACGTGTTTACACGATTCGGGAGGGGGACACGCTGGTCCTGCAGTGTCTGGTCACAGGACACCCGCGGCCACAGGTAAGCTTTCAGTCTTGCCTGTCACCCATGCTCCCCATGGCACTTCTTTGTAGTCTCCACGTGGAGGAGAACTGAGGGCAGTGGGATGCCCAGCTTTCTCCTACGTGTTAGAGTCGGGTAGGGATGCCACATAAGGCAAGCACTAGCTGTTTAAGCTATGAAGCAGCCAGCCTTGCTTTCATGGAAAACAGTCTACAAAGCTTTGCAGGACCTTCTAGTGGTCTTCAGCATGTGAAGTCCTGCAAAACATAGAGACAAGGGGAACCTGCTTGGGGAGTTTGGGAAGTTTTTTCTAGAGCACTTCACTGAGCCCTGTACAGAGCCTGCCGGTCATTGCTCTATGGCCACCGACCAGGGGCAGATTCAGTCTTGCAGCGCTGGATATATCCATACTGTGGTCAAAAACACGGCTCAGCTGGGAGGTGCAGAGCTGAGCTTGGCTAACTGATGCGGTCCTTCCCCAAGGTCCCTAGGGGGTTGCGTAGCCTCAGGCCCTGTGCACTGAAGAGTCCCCACTCTTCAGATACTCAAGTGGGCTGCTTCAATGTTAGCGTGGATGTGCCTATAGAGATTCTGGACCAGAGCATGGGTCTGCCCACTCTGGGACAGAGCGTGGTAGGAGTGGCAGCTGGTGCATACTGTGAGGATGGATGTGCCAGAATACACTCAAGGGAGCCAAGTACAATGCGTGTGCCTTCTTGGCCCACTTCCCCAGTCCTGCCAAGGATACTTGTGCTGAGAAGCCATACATCTGCATACACTAATCAGCCTCTCTGTGGACTTGCTTGTGAGTTTTTCAAAGGAGAGTGAAAGAGACTCAGCCAGTAGGGTTTGAAATGGTTTATCCATCAAAGCATACTCTGGAAACAATAACAAAGAAATTATCTGAGCCAGGCCAGCAAAAAAGACCAGCCTAGGCTTGTGACAGCGATGGGCAGATGATAGCTGTGTACGTCAGAAGCGAGAAAGATGGTAGGGCTGTCCCTGCCTGAGGGTGTTGAATGTGTGGGAAGGTGCTGGCAGGTTGTGGGGATTTGAGCCTGAGTAGCCAGAGAGATGGCTGGAGCAGAGCCTGATGCAGGCAGCGTACTAGTGGACAGCATTGTGGCTTTGCGTTTCCCCGGCAAGGACCGTGGACAGCATTGTGGCTTGTCATTGCCCGGACATGCACGGGGGACACTGAAGCGTAGAACCAGGCGTGACCAGGAAGGCTGGAACCTGCACACATAAAATGTGGCATGTGTCCTATCTCTGCCCTCCCTCCTCATGGAGAGATTTCTTCCCCAGCTAAGCTCTTATTCTAACTTTTGTTTAATCTTTCCTTTTCCCTTCTATCAGCCACTCATTAAAACATGAAAATGTGGCCAAAACACTTAAATGAGATTGAAATTGAAAAGATTAAAGAGCTGGCTGAAGTGTCCTTGCAAACAGGAGACTCTGAGAGTCTTAGAGCCCTCAGACAATTTCATAATAAGCCTACAGAGGCTAAATAAATTCATGGTCATTAGCTCCAAAAATCTACTCAGCCTAGAGTTCTGGGAGTGGGATGTAGACAACCCTGCACTTTCTAGAGCATCAGCATCAATCAGGCAGTGGCAGTGAGCTTTAGGCAAAGCCTGGGGGAGGAGGCAAGGTATCTGGTCTGTCTTATCTGTCGCCAATGTTGAATGAAAGTCTACATCCTTTTCTGTCGGCTGATTTTGCTGGATCTCAGTCTCAGAGTCTAGATGGGCACCGGTGTGGGAGACCACCAGTCACCAGTCTTTAGAAGGGAGGTTGCAGATATAAGAAACCAATAGGCTGAGAAAAGCCATCTCTCTCTTTCATTATCTGGACTGCAGAAAACAAGGGGGAACTTTGTATCACCACTACTTGGGCCATACTGCATTCCAGACATAAGAGTAACCATTCAGTCTTTAGGAATGCTGTCCTCTTGCCACCATTCACCATGAAATATCATGCAGCTCCATTGCCCCTGCAAGCCAGGATCTTAAGATATGAAGCATAAGGACAAAAATTGCTTGAAATCTGAAGGGATTTTTTCTTTTCTTTTTCTGTGTCTTTAAAATCAAAGTAAAAGATTGTGTATTGCAAAAGGATGACTTATAAAAATAACATACACAGGGTTTCCCTGTGGGAAAGGGGCAAGAGACAGATAGCAACTGCATTTTCACACTCTTATTTGGAAAAGCAAACAGCAGAAATAGCCCTGCTGTCCAGAGAAAGATGAAAGAGCGTTGACTGCAGTAAAAGCCCTGTAGCTGTGAGCTGATGTCTGCTGTAACGTCGTGGCCTCCCAGCCACATGGGGTCCCAAAGCTTAATGCTGAAAGTCCTGTGCTGTTCAGATAGTGGTATAAAACTAACCAGCTTCCTGGGTTTACAGGACCAGAGCAGGAGTAGTAAATATGCAGCGTGTGTCTGGGTGAACTGAGGAATTATCCTGGACACTCGGACTTGGGGGTTGGTGACGGATGAGAATCAGCAGCTGGTCTACTGAGACAATAATACTGAGATCAGTAGTTGAACACTGGTGAGGTCTGGTAGTGCTATAGGGCCCATTTTTGAGAACGGCTAGGGAGGAGGGGGAAAAGGAGCAAAGAGAGCTCTGCTGTTCCTTGGGATCTCTAGTTTGTGTCACTGATATTTTGCATTTCTCTCCTTCATTTCATGCAGGTGAGATGGACCAAAACTGCTGGCAGCGCATCGGACAAATTCCAAGAGACGTCAGTGCTTAACGAGACCCTTCGGATTGAGAAGATCCAAAGGCTGCAGGGGGGCCGCTATTACTGTAAAGCAGAAAATGGGGTTGGGGTCCCTGCCATCAAGTCCATTCGAGTAGATGTGCAGTGTAAGTCATTTAGCGGCAACCCAGGCCTTCCCACAGTTCTACTGCATGTCTCTGCCTCGCTGCGGGGCCAGCAGGGAGCTGCATTGCCCTAGGACCACACACACCTTATTCAGGAGCAAAGGGACTGGTGTGGTGTCCCTAGGGTCCATTTGCTCTAGGAGATTAGATCCATCCATGAAAAAGATAGCTCTGCCTGTCCATGTGAGTTCTTCTAATCTAGGTGCCATAATGTCTGTCACTGCCAGAGGTCCCTAGCACTTGTCTGGAACGTAGCTTTGTAGATGGCTTCTGCTTTCTTTGTCTTCATTTTGAAATTGGTAATGCTTGAAGCAAACCAATGCTTCTTGAAATTGGTAGTGGCTCAGATTCTTGAGGCATACCTGAAACCAGTGCCCGGCGCCCCAACATTGCTACCTCTGTAGCATGGTAGAAACAGAGCAAAAGGCTCTGGGGTGCACCTGAAGAGGCTGAGCTGTGAAGGGGTGAATGTGAAGGAATCTGTGAGGACCACTTGGTTTTGTTTTTGTTTCTCTGTCTAGTTGCGATGCCCGTCCTTCTTGTGTCCTGGAGATGCTGTTGGCAGTTCTCCACCTTGGGCCTCAAGTTTTGGAGGTTTCTCATGCTACCTTAATGTTGTTTATTCTTGGGCTGCTGTGGCCAAAAGGGAGGGAAATTAAACTTATCCCATAACCTCCATATGGGAGGAATCTGAGATTTAAGGTCGAGGTTGAACTTTTGAAGATATTTGCTCTCTTGTGGAAGATTACCATCCTGCTCATTGTCCTTGGCTATCCACTGTTCCAGTTTTGTCTAACCCGAATAACACCAAATCCCTCTCCTCACTTATATCTTCCAAGAAGGCCTAGCCGGCAAGAGGTTGATGCTAAAAAGATGTGAACTGTGATAAAGCAGCTGGAACTCTCCCCAAACCTGTCACCACCTGTTTCCACACTCCTCCTAGCAAGACAGTCTTCTGTGCTGAGGTGCACTGTGGTTATCTGTCAGTGGAGCAACATCCAGGCTTTAAAACCTCAGTACCTGCCAGGAGTCTGGGGCAGAGCTTCGCTGACTGCAGCTGCTGCCTGACTGCTTCCTCTTAGTCCTACTGTCCAGCCCTACAATGATGTGACCCTCACAAAGTATGCCATGCAGCTGAACATCCTCAGGCTTTGGTAGGTTCATGATCTGCAGTTGTATTACATGGCTTGGAGCAGCTCCCGTCTCCGTTCCTTCCTTGCCCTACCCTGGAGTGGAGTAGTGTAGTGTGAGCACCATCCTACAGGCTGGGACAACAGATTGCTTCATCAGCAGTCACTTGGGATAGGATGAGCTTTTCTTCATGGGCATTGCACAGCTTTGTTTGGAGGAGTTCTGACACCCACCTAGATCTGCTTGGCTTCTCTGACCATTTCTTCTCCTGTGTGTGGTGGAGGCATATATATGATAACTCTCTATTGCAATGGAGACTTGTTTTTCTCAAGCCTCAGTATGACACATTGCCAAGGCCTGTGTCTCTAGGAACAGGACTGTGGCTGTGACGAATCTCTCTATGCCCTGAGGGCACTCCCTTTACTTCTGGGGTGCAGGCTGGAGCTAGAGTGATGTAGTGTCCCGTGGTCCCTCGTGCAGCTCTGACCTGTAGAACTATGGGGCTAATGGGGTGGCCAAGGGCTTTCTCATACTAACATCTACTCTGCAGATGGACTTGGTAACGCACCTCTGTCCTGCTCACTTGATTTTGGGGGAGGAGAGACTATTTTCTGCTAGTATTTGCAGTAGTTAACAAGGGAACACATAGGAAAAGCCACAGTTTTTGTTGAACGCTCACCCAGGCAACCTTCAGCTGAATGAATCAGAATTTGAAAGCAAACCCTTTCTTTCCCCACATCCCATTTGTAGTTGGAGGTAAGTAATCACCGTCATGTGAACCTTGGTGTCCTTAACAGCTAGTGCTAGTCCTCACTCATACTTTTAGTATTAGACAGCAAGGTAGTGCAGAGGGCACCGTTGGTGCCAAGAGGATATTAAACTGGAAACACTAACCTGTGTAGCAAGTTATTCCTTTGCCCCAAGTGGGCATCAAGTGAGGCTTTAAAGTATTGCTTAGATACTGGCAGAGAGGCAGTTGCTGTTTGGAGTACTTCCATGTGGGAGAGAGGGAAATTAAAGAAAAAGAAAGAATGGATGTTTACAAGCTTATATTGCACATGAAGCATCCCATGTGATCATCTCCATGAGCAGCCTTGGGCCAAATTTATCATTTTTGCAGCTCACTGACATCAGTGGCATTACTCGTACATCAAGGACATGCATATCGTCGTAGGTCTTATTTTAGCTTTTCTCAGGAGGGCTAGACTTAGAGCTGACTGCTATGAGAGAAGGCTGAAAGATTTGAGGGAGGAAAGGTTTAGCAATCAAAAGGAAGATGATGTTTTCTGTGTGGGGAATAGCTGGGAGCCAGGAGACCTGAATGGTGAGTATGTTCTTTGATCAGTAAGGGAAGTGTTTTGCCATGCATCCTGCTGAGAAATGGAGCCTCAGAAGGATGGTAGCTACAGCGTTACTCATGTAAAGTGTGAACAAATAAAGGAGGGTTAAGGAGGGTTAAGGGCAAAGGGGAAAGACGAGAGGCTGTGCCCAAGGTCCTGGTCTAAGAGAATTTGGTGTAAAATTCAGTCACCCTATGGCCACATGGAGACAGCACAGTATGGAGAGGAGATTTTTTTTCCTCCACCTGTGTATGTTTTTCTTCAGCCTTGGGTTTTGGGGTTTTTTTTTGTGCTTTGTCATTGTTCTGCTAATGGCTCTACTCATATCTCTGAGCTATTGTGTGGTCAAGCTGACAAACCTCAGATCCCATTACAATTGCTGTCTACCAAGCATATAGCTCATTAAAATATGCAAATCGACAAGTTGACACTTGTGATTCAGCAGAGCATGTTATTTGGATGACACGTTAGCAGCAACTCATCCCTGTTTCCCACTTCCTTTCTGAGAGTCAGATTTCCAAACTTACAAATCTCTAAAATAAAATATTGTGAAAATCAGGTGGCATGGGAGAGCAGGAGATGATGAGCATGTGTCCTCTTCCTCTCTGCTAACATGTGCAGAAGGCAGTGCTGGCAGCACAAGGGGATAGTGGCTGCGTGTGCCTCAGTTTCCTTACAGTTGAAGGTGGGGTCGTAACGCTGCTGAAACTGTAGAATTGCTTCAGCTGAGCTCAGCAGATGCCTTATAAGACAAACCAGGACACATGCTTAAGGGCATGGGGACAGATTTCAGTTTTAGAGGGTCAGTTGGTCCCATCTTGTCAAATGGGATCTTTACGTTTAACCCCAATCAGTTCTGGGAGGAGAACCCCTCTGAGGTTTTCCCCATGCTGCTTTGATGTTCAGACATTGGTGTCTGGTGCAAAAGCCTGAGAAAATGATCCCTTTTTTAGCAGCAGGGCAGCCCTTGGGGTGCTGTGCGCCCTGGGTGGATAGAGAAAGTACGCTCCCTGCTTGTGTCTTTGCAAGTGAAGCGACTGATAACCATGGATCCTGTCATGACAGCTGCATGTCTGGGGCAGGTTTGGTGAGGGAATTGGAAGGAGCATTTTCTATAAGGGAAGAAAACAGAAGAATATGATGGGTGATGGGGATGCAGTGAATAGAAGTAGCTGAAGAGGGAGAATCAGTACTGACCTGGAAAAGAAGCAAATACACAGAAGTTATTTTAACAGGAAGAGAGAGAAATTGTACATACCTATCACAGTGTTTTGCATCTCATTTCCCCATGGCACCCCATGAGACTTGCTTCTGTCTGGGAGAAGACTCTCTACCTCAGCTCTGTGATATTTGTCCTGATTTCTGCTCTCACCCCTTGACTTGAAGGTTTGTCATGTCCTTTCTGTGAGCATCTCACAGCCATGGGCTTAGCAACATGATTTCAGGAGGGATTTGGGAAGTGGAAAGTGGGAGCAGAAGAAATTATGATGGAGCACGGTTTCCTAGGATCCTTCTGATTTCCCACTGAAGTAGAGAGCAGTGATTTCAGGTGCGGGGTGTTATTGAGGATGGTGAGGCGCATGTGGCAGGGAGGCAGTTTGCTCAGGGACCACATGGGATCTGAAAACCAGAGGGTGCTTTCTATTCTCTGAAGGTTGTGTGGTGAGCGGGAGAATTTTGGGTTCTCCTGTCTGTTCCCTTTAAATATTGTTTGTGTTACCTGCCCTCAGATCAGCTCTTAATTCAGCAGTCATCATCAGCCAAATGTGTGCAAGCTTCCCCTCTCCCCTGCGTTGCCTGGAGCATCACCTGCTCTGCAGGCTATACATGCAGACCAAGCTTCACTAACAACTGCTGCGGCCCTCCTTACCTTCCTTCCAGATCTAGATGAACCAGTTCTCACCGTTCACCAGACCATCAGCGATGTACGTGGCAGCTTCTACCAGGAGAAGACTGTCTTTCTCCGCTGCACTGTCAACTCCAACCCACCAGCCCGCTTCATCTGGAAACGGGGAGCTGAGACACTTTCCCACAGTCAGGACAATGGCGTGGACATCTATGAACCCCTCTACACACAGGTGAAAAAAACAAACCTCCACCAGCTTGTGTTGAGCATCTTGCTGATGCAGGGCCCTCTGTAGTGGATGGTGTTTCTTTCCTTGCATGGGTTACGATGCTGAGGAGAGGCAGGTGGCTGCTGCAAGGAGCACTGTCTCCAAAAGGGCTGGTAGAGCCCGCTTCTGTAGGTGGGTTCCTAGGGGACAAGAGGAGCAGAGCAGCAGGAAGGAGCGTGACAGCCTAGAATTCCCTTGCCGTTTTTGGCACTGTCCCTGAGAGCAGGTCACAGCTTCCCTAAGGAGGTTATGTGGCTGTTGGATGGCTGAGACTAAAATCCAAGCAAACAGTCCCAAAATCGGATCTCCTCTACTTCCCATTACTAATTTTTTTTTTTTTTCTTAATTGAGTGCCTGAGCTCCATAAATCAGGGGAATTGCTTCCTGTTTAGCAGCGTGAGTGAACAGCGGGCACCGCTGTGGGATCCGTGAGGCAAATGGGGAGGAGCCCTTCCTAATGGCCACAAGTAAGAGAGGCAGCCCGGCTGCCTGGACAGCTCTGACTGTCGTCCTGTGACAGGGTGTCCGCACCCTTTCTGCTTCTCCCGCTTGCCTGCGCTGGACTTGCCCCTCTGAATGCTACTTTCTTCACAGTAATTCGCCTGCCAATGCAGTGGGAGACAGAGGGGTTTTTTTTCTTCAGCCAAGGCACTCTGGGCACGTTATCTTAAGCCGAGCTTTGGCTCTGAATGTCCCTCAGATGCTAACCAGCCCCGGCGCTTCCAGCAAAGCCCTTAGGCAGCATGAGGCAGCAATGGGTGGGAAGGGAGGGCTGAAAGGGCAGCTCCCGAGCGCACCCGTTTCATCCACGCACCTCCCCGTGCTCCCAAAGCTGGGCCCTGAGCACATTCTGGCTGAGTTTGATTTCTGAGCAATGCCTCAGGCAACCTTTCAGTTAATGTAGTTGTGTTCATATTTTATTGAAACACGCCATCTCTGTAGGTCATGGAAATGGGCAGCCAAATGGAAACGTTCAGGGGGATGAGGAGAGAGGAGAGAGCTGCAGGTTAGTGGCAGATTTATGGAAATGCTGGAAGGTCGGCGCTGCTGTTGGGCCCTGAAGAGAGTTTTGTCTTAGTCCAGTCCTAATGTGGCATCCAAGCAGGACACCCCTGTGCTTAGAGAAAGCCACCATGGGCTCCTCCAGCTTTCACTAAGCTGGGTGTAATTAGCAGGAGACGTTGGTTAATGAGAGGATGTCTTAGGACTTGAGATATTTTCTTCGGCTAACTAAGGCGTCTGGCAGAAATTCACCCCGTTGCAGCATTAACGTGTAAATGACCCAGCATCCTGCAGCTCCTGTCAGGCAATGTTCCCACCATGATGGGTCATTTCTAGCTCCAAGAGAGGGTGCTCACACAGGCATGCCCTTACGGTCCTCTCCTTAGAACCAGCATAAACCTGTGAGTTTGGGTTGGTTAAGAGTTGAAGTTAACAAAAACACACCTCCTCTACACTATTGGGAGTGGGAGATCTTGCTGGAGCTCAAATGCACTGTATTTGACAAAGCACCCTTCGCAGGGCTTTGTGCTATTGTCTTAGGGATGAACTGGTATCAGTGGCAGGTTTGGCTAGGCTTTTACATTAAAAAGGAGGTGAAGACTTTACTGTTTAAACCTTTTAAAACTTATTTACACTGAAGTTTTATACACATTTACCCAACGTTTACTAATCAATAAACAGGATACATATGACCCTGAAATAAGTAGTCAACATGCACATTGTAAATGCCATCATTTGTGTGGCATAGCAACAAATCTCAAGGGACGGGACTTTCACAGGGTTATTGGTCTCCTAGGTATTTATCTTCCTAATTTACTCAGTTCAGATCCTTGTTCTCTGCATATTAGCATGCCTGAGCTCATTGTCCAGTCCCTTGAGGTTGTCCTCAAGAGGATTTGTCACGCTGACACCTTCTCACATTTGCAGGCAATTATGGAATTGTTTCTCCAAAAGAGACTTAGACAAACACAAGGAGAACAACAGCAACAAGCTGTCTTGGGAAGATGTACGAGTTGCAGGTTGTGCAAACCACAGGATGCATCTCAGACCTTTCTGCATTCCATAAATAAAAATCTACAGATACATCTATTGTTAATTCAACAACTTGATTCTGTTTCTACAACAAGCCAGTTGATGATGGAACTGATGGAAACTGAATGCCAGGGAGTGATTTTGTTTGTTACTGTAGTATGACAAAAGGCTATCAAAGTCCATGAAGTCACTCTGGATTTATACCAGCTTAAATGAGATTAGAATCTGGAGAAGAGAGATCAGAAAGTTTTGGGGGGTTCTTTGAATATTTGTCTGAATTATCTTTTTTTCCCCTGTACTGCAAATTTTTACAGTGTAACTGTTCAATGTGTCATATTTAAGCCAGCATTAATGCCTGAATCTGCTCTGGTTTACTTTGATTTTGCAATGTTGAGACCGCAGTAACTTCCCTTGGGTTCCTACTGACATCTCGATGGGAGATCTTAGGATCTGTTTTGGGACCTTTAAGTTTTTTCAAGTTCCGCAAGATGATTCTGACAGCAGTTGATCAGAAATTATGCCTAGACCTGTTCAGCAGTGCTTACAGGTTAAATGTTGGTTGGTTGCTGTGTGTTTTGAGAAATCCTGGAGGTGAAGTTACCACTGCAAACGTTTTGTGTCTCCTTTATATATTGCTAGGGGGGCTTGGAGTCTGCACAGTTCCCTGAGCTTTGGTGGGAGCTGCTGGAGACCTGCATGGTTTGGGACAGGTTATGGACTTGCAAGGATGAGCTGTGCTTTATACACCTGTGTCTTTTTTTCCACCCTTTTTTCCCGACTCCCAGGGTGAAACCAAAGTCCTGAAGCTGAAGAACCTGCGGCCCCAGGATTACGCCAGCTACACGTGTCAGGTGTCTGTCCGCAACGTCTGCAGCATCCCTGACAAATCCATCACCTTCCAGCTCACGAACACCACGGGTAAGAGGGGATGCAGCGTGTCCCCGCAGCCCTCCAACCCCTCGCCTGCTCAACAGCCACTATCCCTCCAGGAGGGTAACACAGCACCCCGTCCGGGGCCTGCAGCACCTCACGTTCATGTTCACGGCTGCTAGGATTAAAAATCCACCACACAGAAGCCTTGTGGCCAGGGGTGCTCTAATTTCTCGCAGCTCTGCATATGGCTGGTGCCTTGGCCAAGCCTGCCGTGAGATCATTAAAACAGACTACACGTAGGTGTTGAGGCACTATGTAGTTTTTAACCCAGACGCTGTTTTATTTATTTATAATTCTAAGTGACTTTAAAAATAGATTCAGTACAGTCTAGAGTGGGGCAGATCTGCAGGAGTTCTTACAAATAATTCATTCGTGTGTGACTCTGGCCCGGGTCGCGGGGCTGTGCTCTCGGCACCTCCCAGCTAACGGGCTCCGCTGATGCCGATGTTTGTAGAAAGCAAATCTCTCCGGTGCCTTCCCAATAAATAAATTTTACACTGATATTCATGCTGGCAGTGCTTGAGTGCACCTCCAGTTGTGAACAGAGTCAGCGTGCTGCCTCTTGCTTGACCTGCAGTAACTGACTGATAACTGGGTAATCGCATACCAAATACTTGCAAGGTCCTGATAGCAACCTGTCCATTAAAAACAAAACAACAACAACAACAACAAACCCAAATAAAACAAAACCACACCCACAAAGCCCCCACATGTGTCAAATATTTTCAAATAATAAATGTCAGGAAATCACTTCCAGCCCTGGGGTATTCCACGATCAGAAAGAAAGGTTTTGCAGCTGTTTGAATTATTCACCTCTCTAATGTGACACAAAGCAGTTTGCATCCCTTGTGTCATCTTTGTGCAGTGGAAACAGAACTCTTTTGATGTTGCCAACTGTTGATGGGATATTGTTGATACTGTATGAATTATGTTTATTGATCTGACTTGAGCCCAAGGTGCTGAACAATAGTTACATTGTTTTATGTAGAAAAAGGAAAAATAAGAAGTTTAAGAAAGTTGACTATAGCTAATGTCAGAAAAAAATATTCCCTATGTAGTAAGATCTCTGAACATGTCTCGAGCAAATCACACCACTGCCTGAATTTCTCTCAGGATGAGACTGTAGTGAATGCTGGAATATTCCCTTTAAAAACTTATCTTGTCCTTATGATGAAGAAAGAGATCTTGTACAGCTGCTCTTGTTGTGTCTTTTCCTTTGAAGAGTTAGAAAATCAAATTTCTCTTCATGTGCACTCCCCCCTCCCAGCCCAAGCACAGCGAAACTACCCTTCATTTCAGTCCAGTCCCTGTACTGAGTGAATGGGGAAAATGTATTTCCGGGTTGTAGCCAGATCAGAAGCCAGTGATGTGGCTTTGAACCTGGTCCATGTAGCACATACATCTAGTTCTTTTTTTTCCTGTTGCTTAGTTATAGATGCATATTTATATGTATTTACAGTGGAGCCTGACACTGCAAGCTCAAAGGGACCATGGAAAATGTGTTCCTAGCCAACTGTCTGGCGGTGAAAGCTGGTGGAGCTTGGCATTGTGGTGTGAGCAGGGTTTGTGTTAAATAACACAAGTATATTTAACGTGAAATATTATCTAGCTTACTTGCCCTGTAGGTAGTATTGTGCATAAATGAGAAGATATTTAAAGAAAAATCTTTAATTCTCTCCATTTTTACATAGGTCTTTTCTTTCCCTCTTGCGCTCATGCCTTAGCAGCCTCTGTAGCCTTGGCTGTGCCCAGAAACCTGAGCAGCTTCGCTCAGGATGCCTTCACCTTTCCAACTGAGGAGGGCCCAAAGGATGCCGAGGTGCATGGAAATCAATCCCTTAAATATTTATAGACCCAAGTACTACAGACCTAGAGCGGAATTGGTAGGTCAGGTCACGTCAGGCCAAGGGACTCTTCTCTTCCCGGTTTGTTTGCTGTTCCTCAGCCTTGGCTCCTCTGGCAGTGGCCTTTGGGCAGATCGTAGTCTCCAGCAAGGAGATGTGCTTCTCCCAAGTTCTGTGTCAGCAGCTTGGCCCTAGCAGCAGGGGATGGGTTCTTGGTCTTCAACTTTAATGGGAAGGAGGCTTCCCCTGCTCCTTCTCTGTCCTGCAGCTGCTGTGTGGCTCTAGAGCAGCAGGTTGGGTCCAGAGCCACAGGACCAGTTCAGCACCGGGCTGTCATCACCTGCTCCAGTGGGGTCAGGCTGACGTTTTCCCTTTCCTCTATTTCTGCAAAATTAAGCAGCCCAGCTGGTTAATTCTCCTGCAGTTTTACTGCAGCAAATTGGACTTCAAAGGGAATTGAAAGCGACTCTTTGTTTTTAATGGTCCCCTTGCTGCTCGACAGACTCGCCAGCAGGTTTTCTGAGCCAAGAACAAAAGGAATTGCCACAGGTTACAAATAAATGAGATTCATCTCCTGCATAACAATGTCTGCAGACTCTTCACCTCTGTCTGCTGACAGGAGTGGGAGTGGGAGCCCACGCAGGCTGCCACTGCCGGGGCTGCATTTTGGGGCATGTCACGGGAGCTTGCTGCCGGGAGCTGTGCGGGTGGCAGCTTTGCAGTTTCCCTGCCTCCCTCTTGCATACGTACACAACCTGCCCTGAGGCAGTGCTTGCACCAGCATGTCACTTTTTTTTCCATGCTGCCTTGCATGGAACTGGGCAAGATGAGTGTTGATCAGGTATGTGCACATCAAACACTGCAAGAGCCCTAAATCTTAACTAGAGCTTGCAGGACCTCTGGATTGTGCTCCCCAACTCTGACATCTTCTCTCGGGACATAGGCTGGTCTCAGTCTTTCTCTGGCTCTGAGAGGGATGGATGGAGATTCCCAGGCAAGGTGCTGGGTCTGTCAGTTTGTCTGTGCCCTGTGAACCTGAAACCAGCTCAATGTCAGAGGGCAGGTACAGCTATTTGGTGTCAGATACACTCAGCTGACAGCTTGTTAGTGACAGGAATGTGTCCTGCTGGACCACGATGAGTTGAGCTTATTGCGTTCCTGGGCTTCATAGCATCTCATGAAACCTCCTGGAGCTTGGAGAGGATGTACAAATCCTTCCTTTGCCGATTACTGTACATTAACCCTTGCACACTATTTCCAAGGTTCCAGCAAAGAGACCTGTCAAAGGTTCTGAGTTCAGGCTGTGGCCTCCAGAAATTCAAGGACTCAGAATGGCCAGTGCAGGTGGCAGAGGAGCCACCTTCTTCCTTAGGCACAGCTGGCCACCTCTGGCACAAATAGCATGTGCTGTGGCCAGAGAGAAGACATTTGATTCAGTGCACCAAAGCAATATCCCAGCATGGCAGTAGTTGCGCTGCTAAATTATGGTGCCAGTGTTGAGGGGAGAGCAGTCCTCTTCGCCTTGTTTGTATGGGCTGTAATTCAGAGATCCAACACAAATCCAGCACAGCTCATTAACGCAGGGTCCAGGGAGAGAAGAGGCAGAAATAATGATGCTGTTAAATCAGACTTCATGAATATGGAACGGTGTCTTATTTTGCATTATTATGGCTGTTACTTAAAACATACTCCCTGCCTTTGGGCTGGGGATTGCTACTTTCTCAACTCTGTCTGGATGGAGCCAGTGATGGTGCTGACGAGGGCTTTAAAAGGCTTTTCGTGGGATGAAATAGAGAATACAGAGGGACGTTTTTTGGATCGGTTCCTGGAGGGGGATGTAGTGAGAAGGGTGCAAAAATAAAATAAGCCAAAAACAAGTACTAGGGTATTCATAGGAGAGGTTGGCTAGACATTTTGAGTCAGTCTCAGTTGTTCAGTTGTGCATGAAAGACAATCCCTGTGACCTGGTCTACACCCCCCAGGTCTACAGAAAAATGCATTTGACACCTCTGGAGGTGAAGGGGGTTGAGAGTGGGTGCAGAGCTGCTGCTCCAGTCTGCACCATAACTGACCATGTCCTGGTCCTCTGTGTCAGGCTCCGAGCTGCAAGGGCCAGCTGCCTGGCAAAGACTTTGCCTCTCAAAGATGTCTAGTTGGGTGTGAGAGATTGACACATCATGGGATAGTGAGGTCCTTTTTTAATGGCAGACCTTCCCCAAAACTCCTTTTTGGGATGGCAACTCTGTATGGGAGAAGTGGTTTAATCCCAACTGTTCTTGAACACAAACAGCTGTTGGGTTCAAGCAGGCTCCTCTGAGCCTGTCCTTTCTCCTTCACCTCTCTATCAGGGTTGAGCTCTGGTAGTCAAGCAGAAGGAGCAGGCTGTGACTGGGCATGCACCTGGTGTTCTGCCTGACCTTCCCTTGGGATTGTGAGAACCCTTCAGCAAACACTGACATCCCAGTGAGCTTCCCAACATGCTTTGGATCGGATCCTGAGATGCTAAGCTCAGTCCATGGCTGCAGCTTCCTGTGCCTAGTGCCAATGAATCCAATGAATCTCTTGTTCGCCT